ATTTTCTCAGTCAAAAAATCATTCACACTACCGTTGACGCTCTTTACGAAACTTCTTCGTTCAAATCTATTTCCCTGTCAATGTTTCCATCTTCATTAAAAGGCGTAAGATGACAAAACAAGATCTTGAAGAATCTATCTTTATACTACCAAAACTCTGAGATTGTTTGTTTGCTTATTTTCTCAGTCAAAAAATCATTCACACTACCGTTGACGCTCTTTACGAAACTTCTTCGTTCAAATCTATTTCCCTGCCAATGTTCTCATCTTCATTAAAAGGCGTAAGATTACAAAAACAAGATCTTGAAGAATTTCTCAGTAATTTGCCTTGGTTATGGTAGGTATTTCGAAGAAAAATAAAGTGTTACTGTTTCTTATTTGTAGAAGGTTTAAGAGGAAAGACCACAACATAATGAACTAATTCATCACAATACCTGAAAACTCTGACTTCACTTTTTTGAAAACTTTTTACTCCCGATCAACAATCAAATATCTTTTCTTGAATTATGAATAACACGAATGGATTGAAATATTTAATTAAATTATCTCAAAATAAACCTTCATTTCGGTGCAAGATTGAAATTAGCTTGAATTCTTCATAACCTCTGAATAGTGGGTGACCCAACGGGTCACGGGTTGTCTAGTTAATTAATATAATTAAACTTAGATTGATGTACGAGCACCACCAGCTTACGGTAAGTATTTTGAAGTACGTTAAAAACTCAAAGTCCTTGTTCAATTCTTCCTTATATACGATTACTAAAAATCAGATATATATAACAAAACATTTCTTCCTTCAATTTTTGGCATCAATAGTATAATGAAATTTCTTACCTGTATAGGAATAGTGTCTACATCATCGAAGTTGTTTTTATTTTGGTAAAAAACACGTAAATATTTCCAAGATGATGGAGACGATCTACTTGAATATCTAAAAACATGCGTAAAATATATATATATATACAGTTTCTTATAAATTACATATAAAAAACATGATCGTAAAACCACAAATTATATGTAATATATATATATATATATATACAGTTTCTTATAAATTACCTCTTTCATATAAAAAACATGATCGTAAAACCGCAAATTATATGTAAAATATATATACAGTTTCTTATAAATTACCTCTTTCATATAAAAAAACATGATCGTAAAACCGCAAATTATATGTAATATATATATACAGTTTCTTATAAATTACATGTAAAAAACATGATCGTAAAACCGCAAATTATATGTAAAATATATATACAGTTTCTTATAAATTACATGTAAAAAACATGATCGTAAAACCGCAAATTATATGTAAAATATATATACAGTTTCTTATAAATTACCTCTTTCATATAAAAAAACATGATCGGAAAACCACAAATTATATGCGTTTGTTCGCATTGGAAAATTATCACTTTTCAATGTGGTTGATAGGTTGAGATAAAAAGTAAATTTTCATAAAGGGTGGGGCAGCGTTTTCTAGTGGTGAACGTTTTGGATTGTAGTTGAAAGGTTCCGGGTTCTGGACTTGTCCAGGACATGTTCGTGTGCCTTTGAGCAAGGCAATTTACCCCATTGCTCCAGTTTACCCAACTGTATAACGGGTACAAGCGGGGTTTCCCTGCGATGGACTGACATCTCATGTATGTATGGGGGGGGGGGGATGTTGCTATTCTCATCCGTTGATGCCAGAGTTGGACATCGGCCTTATATGTCTTCATACAGGTCGTAGTACGTATCCTACCCTTTCTTCATATCAAAAAGAAGTCGGAGAAAACATTTTTCCTGGACTTGTTTTTAAATTGGCACTCGTTATTAAACTTAAAAGTGTAAAACGTCTCAAAAGTCG